CACCTTGCATGTGCCAGGATCACATATGGGCACCGGTTCTAATCCCAGCTCCCTGCTTATGGCCTGGGAAAGCAGTCGAGAATGGCCCAAAGCCTTGGAACCCTGCGCCCATGTGGGAGACCTGGAAGAGGCTCCTGGATCCTGGCTTTAGATCAGCTCAGCTCCAGCCATTGTGGCCACTTGTGGAGTGAATCATCAGATGGAAGATCTTCCTCTCTGTCTCTCCTCTCTGTATGTCTGACTTTCCCATAAAAATAAAATAAATCTTTTTTAAAAATCTGGGTGTCAAGCTTGTATTTTCCTAGGAAAGCAGTTTGCATGCATCCTCTAAGGAGTTAGGCAGGAGTCCGATTCGCTCCTAGGCCATGCCTGGGACCCTGGGAGGCACTCAACACAGCGTGGTGTGCCAAGGCACATCACTGTGCTTGTAGCCCATGGCCTCCTGGTCGTCCTTTAATCTTTGAAAAATAGAATTCACTTGCACGTGTTTGAAGTTTTTGGTTACAAGAACCCCCTGTGTGCTGCTGTGGTGTGGGACGCCCGCGCTGACAGGAAGGAGTTCCTCGTGTGGTCCCCTCCACGCCGCCCCGGTCCTCACTGCGGTTTCCGCGAGGCTTGGCCGTGGGCTCCTGCTGCTTTGCAAGTACTGTTTGCCTTACAGTACTGAGATCAATTCCCCTGTCCCCGCAACGCGGGAGGCCAAAGGTCAGTGCCCGTTCTGTTTGGAAACTGGATGAAAACACGGTTCCTAGGGAGCTGGGGAACGGTAAACACGGCGAAAGGTCCCACACACACACACTCAGGCCAGATGTCACTGAGGCCCCCGGCCTGCATCCAGAGTCACTGTGGACTGTCCCTGACTTGGCAGCACTGTGGCTATTGATCCAACTTCAAGTCCAGCAGCAGGACCAGTGCGAGAATACGCACGTCAGAGGCCCCGTGTGTGTCTCCCGACGTCACAGTGTGAGCGTCCCGTGACAACCGGCCTTGGTTCTCCCTGCTCCTGCCCCGTCCAGCCAAGCACCCGGGCTGCCCTGCACTCGGCTGCCCTGTCGCTCTGCAGGTGTTAGTTAACCATCACTGGCAAGAAGACTTTGGGATAGGAAGAAAGATGGGGGGACGGGGCAAGAGCATTGAACTACGCATGTCAGGGTATGTGCTATGTGCAGAGATTTCTACTTCCCATTGCTTGATTCCCTGTCGGCTATGCCACACATGGCTGCATTTATCTGCGCATGCGTGGAGTGTGAGGTGGTCCAGGCAGGGAGCTGTGCGTGTTCCTGGCTGCAGAGGCTCCCAGCACCACCAGCCATCTGGTGTGTGACAAACGTGTGTTGAGCACCCATGACGCAGCCAGCCACAGGCACTGCTGTGCTCAAGGCACGCTGGCCAGCAGCATGCTCTGATACTCCCGTTTCAGCTTTCACTGCAGTAACATCTCACAGATGAGGAAACTGCAGCTCAGCGAGGTCCCAGGGCTTAGACGAAGGGTGCTGGGGCTTCAGCTCAGGGCTTCTGCCAAGTCACTTTCTGGCCAGGCCTGCTATACCTGCACCGCCCCCGTGAATGTTGGAAAGGCCGGTCAGACACCATGCCTGCTCACGAGGCGGAGTCATGCCAGCCTTGGAGGGAACTCTGAAGAAGTTAGGTCATAGCTGGGGCAGTAGGCAGGTAGATAGGAACCAGAAAAACAAAACAGTGGGGCCAGCACAATGATTCAGCTATCCAATCCTGCAAGTGTTAACATCCCATATGGGCGCCGGTTCATCTCGACTTTCCGTCCAGCTCCGTGCTTGTGGCCTGGGACCCTGCCCCCATGTGGGAGACCCAGAGGAAGCTCCTGGCTCCTGGCTTTGGATTGGCTCAGCTCCAGCCATTGCAGCCACTGGGGAGTGAATCAGCGGATGGGAGATCTTTATCTCTCCTCTCCTTCTCTCCATAAATCTACCTTTCCAACAACAATTAAAAAACAAAACTGCTGAGGTTGGTAGGTGGTGAAGCGCTGGTGGAAGATAAACAGCGACACATCATTGACCAACAGGATCGGGGCCGGATGGGGAGATGACGCATGTTGAATCCTTCTGCTTCCGGTGGCGTCTGCATTTTTAGCTTTCTCACTGATGAAGACGTGCGTGAGTGTATTAAGTTGGTGAGGGCAGGTGCTTGCAGTTCTCCAGGTTTGGATGGAGTGTTCAGCACACCAGCGCTGACACTGGGCCTGGAGTCATTTGGAGGTGCTTTACAGGAACCCCAAGCCCTGATCAAACCAGGAAGCTCTGTCTACCAGTAGATCTGAGACTAACAGGAGCACGCTTTGCTCACTCAGTGTTCTCAGAAGAACACGCTTCCTATCCCTGACCAACGAAAGGATGGCCGGAGCGCCAGGGGCCAACCAGAGAGCAGTGGAGCTGAGCACCGCACTGCCTCAGCTTGAGCCTGTAAGACCCACTGCCCTTAATGCCCAGGGCTGTGACAGCCAACAGCTCCTATTCAGACCCTTGCACTGGTGCCTAAGTGTACGGGTAGCTTAACCGGCTCGGAAAGCTGCTGCTCCCGCCACCACCACCCTCCTCTCCAGAAATTACCATCATCATGTCCTCTCACACGATCTGCATTTTCAGCCTGTGTCCACAAGGGTCTTTTCAGAGCTTCCATCTGATTGTTCCTAATCGGAGACTCAAAAGCTCTCTTTGGTTACTCCCTGCCCTGGGCAGGGAGAGGAATTACAGTGGCTGGCCCCTCCCTCGTCCCCATTCTTATGAATGTGCTGGTCCTTGGTCCCCGTCTGGGGTCAGGCCCATCCCTCCTGTACCCTCCGAGGGCACTGACAATCCTCACCCCTTGGTCCCCCTGGCCAGCTCAGATGTCACCTCCTTTAGCACCTGCCAGAGTGGCTCAATTGGATCAGTGCTGATCCTCCTCAGTACATGGAAAGTTCCAGATGGACACATCTGCCAGAGAAGAGAGAGAGCTTGGGGTCCTGCACCTGCTTGGGAGACCGGGAAGAAGCTCCTGACTCCCGGTTTCAGATTGGCTCAGCTCCGGCCATTGTGGCCATTTGGGGAGTGAACCAGTGGAAGGAGGATTTCTTGCTGTTCCTCCTTCTCTCTCTGTAACTCTGCCTTTCAAGTAAAATCAAAGCCAGTATTTTTTAAAAACTATGAAGTGTATGTTTCACCCTATGGTCACAACAACATCCTTCAACACAATCTTGAAGTCGCTCCAGGACATCTGCCAAACGTGTCCAGAGCCTTTGGGAATCTCAGTCCCCTGCCCTCCCGCCCCGTGCCTCATTGAGCTCACGGAGTCTCGCATATTAGTCACAAGGTCACACTAAGATGCCAGCCGGCCCTCTGCCACGCTCAGCACAAGAGAGGTAGTCTAGGGGGATAGTCCCTGTGACTGCATGGGTTCGAAGCCCACCTAGCTGGGCTGCTGTCACCCCTAACGTGATGCCCCATCGTGGAGTAGGGCTAGGTCACACAGGTGCCCGCCTGCCTGTGAGATCACACGGGGAGCACGCTCACAGGGCAGGAGTCCCGAGTGGGTTCCTAAGAAACATAAGCTCCTGCGCCCAGCACAAGCGCAGTGACTAAATCCTCATCTTGCAAGCGCCAGCATCCCTTATGGGTGCCGGTTCGTGTCCTGGCTGCTCCACTTCCCATCCAGCTCATTGTTAGCGGCCTGGGAAAGCACAGCGTTTTACCACCCTACCCCAGCACGCGGAAAGCCTAGGACCCCTCCGTGTCTGCCCAGTCATTGCCTATTTTAGTTCTTGACCTTGGAGATACCCAGGCAGGCTGACTTGTTTTTTTTTTTTCCTTCTTTTTTTAATTGTTCCTAGAATTCCTAATTTTTTAGAGTAGCGAATTTTTACTAGCAGAAGCCTGCAAAACTCCCTGTGTGCGAATCCTGTGGACGCACGGGAGGACCTCTCGGATCCGGGAACGCGGAGACATCAGGGGAAGGGGACGCTCGGTGCCTGGGCTCCCACAGACCTGGTGACAGCTGGAGGGCCACTTGCTTAGGTCATAGGTAAACAGAGACTTAAAGCCCACACCATCACTTCTGGCGCTTCCTACCCCAACAGTCCAGAGCTAGAGGCTGAGCAGCAGCGGCATATCCGCATCTCCGTGCAGTCTGGGGGGTTCCGGGCAGGTGGTGACGTCCTGACAGGTGGGTGGGCGCGGGGGCGGTACCCGCGGGCCAGACGTGCTCCCGGGCCTGGCGGGCATGGCCTCCGGCAACACTCAGAACTGCGCCCTGCAGTTGTCGCGCCCAGCCCGGGCTGCAGCCCACCTGGCGCTGTCACCGCGCTGGGGAAGAGGGGAACGCGGCGGGGTCGGGCTTCCGAGCGGGGCTGGAGCCCCGGGCGCCTTCAGATTCGGGCCGAACAAGTAGAGAAGGCGAGGGATGCGCGGGATGGGCCGCTTTCCAGAGTCCCCGGAGGCGGGTCTTCCTCCTTGCTCGGCCGCGCCGCGGGGCTCCCCAGGCCACTGCCGGGCGACCCTCGGGTGGACTGAGCGGCCAGCTCGACTCCACGGCCTCGCCTAGCCTACCCCGCGCGGAGCTCCGGGGCCCGTCTGGGGAGGTGGCCAGGGAGAAGGGGGCCCGCGACCCCGGCGGCGTCACCCCTGCACTTTCTAACTAGCCCCAGGCCTTGCAGGCTGGCTTGCTCCTGGCGCCCTCCCCGCCCCCGCGCTCCGCAGGCGTTGCCCGGGAGCCGGGCCCGGGGCCCGCAGCCGCCTCTCACTCCGCCCTAGGCAGCGGGCAGCTAAAAAACCCGCGACTCCCAAGTGGAACTGCGCGCTTCTCCCGACGCCTGAAGCGGCCTGGCGCCGCGGAGAGCCAGCTCCAGCGGGCGCGGCGCGCTCCTCCAGCCGGCGCAGGAGCTCAAAGTTTCCAGAGGAGTCTGGAGCCCGGGGTCCGGCGGCCTGGACAGGACCCGGGGCCGCAGGGGAGACATGGAGCCTGGTGGGTCGCAGCTCCCAAGTCCGGAGATGCCTCCTCCTGGAGACGCCCCGCCGGCCGAGGGGTCGCCAGTCCCGGGGGTCCTGTGGACCAAGGGTGGCGAGGACCATGGCGCTGGGACTTCGGAGACCCCGGGCTCCGAGGGGGACACAGAGTCCCCAGAAGCAGAGGAAGAGGAGGAGGTGCCGGGCCACGGCCGCCGCCGGCGCGTGCGCTCCTTCTCCTTGCCGGCCGACCCCATCCTGCAGGTGGCCCGGCTCCTGCAGCGGCGGCAGCAGCAGGCCCGGGAAGGGCTGGGCGGCAAGAAGCGGGTGCAGTTCGCCGACTCTCTGGGGCTGAACCTGGCCAGCGTGAGGCATTTCAGTGAGGCCGAGGAGCCGCAGGTCCCGCCCGCCGTGCTCTCCCGCCTCCACAGCTTCCCCATGAGCTCCGAGGACCTGGAGCACATCGGGGGCCTGCTGGCCGCGGCAGCGGCGGCCAGTCCCCTCCCGGCGGCGCCGCCTCCCCGGCTCCGGCCGCTGTTTGAGCTCCCGGGCCCCGGCGCGGCCGCCCAGCGACTCCGGCTGCAGCGCGTGTGCCTGGAGCGCGTGCAGTGCTCGGCGCCCTGGGGCGCGGAGGTGACGGGCTCCGGGAGGGTGCTCAGCTGCGCGGGGCCCAGGGCCGTGCTCGTGCGCTACACCTTCACCGAGTGGCGCTCCTTCCTGGACCAGCCCGCCGAGCTGTCCCCCGAGGAGTCCCCGGAGCCGCAGCCCCCAGAGGCACCTTCGAGGGTCTCCGGGGGTGCGGAGGAGGAGCTGGGCGTCGAGCTCTTCCACTTCTCGCTGTCCCTGCCCCCTGGCCTGCTGCCCAAAGACTGGGAAGATGCGGACGCGCAGGACGCCGCCATCCACTTCGCCATCTGCTACCGCTGCGCACAGGGCGAGTTCTGGGACAACAACTCTGGAGCCAACTACACACTGCGCTATGTACACAGCACGGACGCGCCCTGAGACCCCGGGGCCCGGCCCAGTCACCCCGCACAGCCCCCCACTTCCCTCTCTGTGCACTCATCATCCAGGGATGATGAGAGCTCTGGCCGCGGATTACCTAAGCACCTGCTAGGACGCTACGCTGGGAGCTTGGAGGGCAGCTCACAGCCCAGGTAGAACCGCAAGTGAGCGTCGGCAGCCCCCCCCTCCCACCCCACACCTCTGCCGACTCAACCTGCAGCTGTTGGCTGGCGGAATGAGACGCAAATACCCAGGGTCCGGGACACAAGCTTTCGCAAAGAAAGGAAAGGAAAAGGAAAAGAAGAGATGGGCTCCGATTGCTGAATGCTGGGATTTGGGTCGTCTTATAGCCCCCTCTTGCTGCCAACTTGGTGGAGGAACACTCAGACTAGACCTACTGTCCCATCCCCGCGTCCAGGGGCGTCGCCCCCAGGCCTGGCCTGAAGCAGAATGGAGGGCGGGCTGAGCAGTCCTTGGGAAAACTGTTTGTCCCAGACTTGACGTGATGTGTGTACCAACTTCCTCGGGCAAAGAGCCGAGGCTTCTCAGGCGGCTTGGCTCGCTGCGCTTCCTGTTTTACTCCCATGTGTTGGGGAGTGGGGAGTGATGTTCGGCTGGCCGTACACGCGCTTTGATGTTCATGAGACAGCAGCACCTGGCAGGTTCACTCCTGCCTTCCTGTCTCTCTGCATTCTGTGTCCCCCCGGTAGGCGCACTGTTGGACCTGGCTGGAGGACAAGGAGTCGCGGGCGGGCAGGGTGCGTGCGGGAGGCACAGCGGGGAAGAGGCTGAACCGGATGAAGGATGAAGATGCAGTAACCGGTTTTTTTTTTTAAAGTCTGCCTGTATGAGTACTTCAAGAAGTCCGTGGAATTTGAATGGACATGTGATTATGGGGCGTTTTTTAAAAATGCAACTACAGCATTTTGCATAAAGCTTGTGAAGTTTTCACTGCCGCCTAGGAGTCCTGGTGCAATAGCCATGGATGGGCTCAGTTCTGCCCAGGGTCCGTTCCTGCAGGCCTGCAGCCTAAGAAGGTTCAACAAAAAGTGGAAGAGCCCTGCCTGGTGACACGTGGGAACTCTGTGGAATCCAGAGTGTTCCTAGGTTGCACTGGAGTGTGGCTGTGAGGCTCCAGCCCGCTAGGTCCCTGTGGCTGTACTGGAGCCGAGCAACGCGAAGCCCTAGACACTTCCTCTCTGGCTCTTTAGAGAGAGGGCTTCCCAGCTGCTGCTTCATGTTTTCAAAAAATGCTCTGTGGGGGACAGTCAGCGTCTCATATGGGCACTGGGCTGCTGCTATGTGTCCCGGCTGCTCCACTTCCTATCCAGCTAGCTCCCTGTTGTGGCCTGGGAAAGCAGCAGAGGATGGCCCAGGTCCTTGGGCCCCTGCAGCCACATGGGAGTCCCAGAGGAGGCTCCTGGCTTTAGATCAGCTCAGCTCTGCCCATTGCAGACATTTGGGGAATGAATCAACAGATGGAACATCTCTCCCTCTCTCTCCTCTCTGTAAAATCTGCCTTTCAAAAAATGATTTCTGGTGAGCATTAGTTAATGAAATAGCCTCTTTGTGACTTTTGGCACTCATTAGCTTCCTTTGCAGCCAGGTAAAACTGTCCACATAGTTCTGTTGCCTTGGTGACAACAAGCAGTGATAACAGCAAAGGTGCAATTACCGTCCTGGGGAAGGGAATACACTGGGGCTGATCTCTTACAACAGTAACTGATGCGCTCAACTGAAGCGTAACGCCATCTGACTCAGCAAGCACCTATGATACCCAGCTGGCGTTTAGCTGGGGGCTGGTGTGGTGGTATAATGGGCTAATCCTTCCCTTGTGGCACCAGCACCCCATGTAGCCACTGGTTCATGTCCCGCTGTTCCACTTCTGGTCCAGCTCCTTACTTAAGGCCTGGGAAAGCAGCAGAGGACAGTTGAAAACCTTGAGAGTCTGCCATCACGTGGGAGACCAGAAAGAAGCTCCTGGGAACGGACCGGCCCAGTTCCAGCTTTTGTTAACCATTTGGGGAGTAAACCAATGGATGGAAAATCTATCTCTGCTTTTCCCTCTTTCTTTGTAACTCTGACTTTCAGAGTAAAATAAATAAATGTTTAAATATACATTGAGTTTGAACTTTGGGTTGGAGATATTCCTTTGTGACCACAGTTCCCAAGGTTTCCACTGATTGTGGGAACATTTTGAAATAACTGAAGCCATTAGAAGCTGTAACTTACAGTGGAGTAAAGCAGACTTAGCAAAACATTCACATTGAATTGTGCAGGCTTGTAAAAACTCAATCGCAACACAGATAGTCAGTTATTAGAAAAGCATTGCTTTCCTGTTAAAAGTACAAAAGCAGCCGAGTCTCTTCCTGTGTTTAGTCTTGGGTCTGGGTGGGCCATTTCTTCAAAGTAAGCACAGTGGTCTAACACCTGGGGAAATGCACGTTACATGTTTCTAATGTGTTTGAAAATTGGCTGCAGTTGAAAAATATGGCAGGTGTAAATACAGTTTGAAAATGCTGGTTTCTTTGGTAAGAACACAGGCTTTTGAATTGCTTGGGAGACTGGAAGACCTTCTGGCTTAGAGCTCCGCGGACACCGAGGGGTCTGTGGACACTTCTGTGGCCTGCTGTGGGTCAAAACCCAGTGAAAATGAAGGGCCCTGAGGATCCCCAGGATTCCTAGCTGTGAGGTCAGGCGAGATGAGCTCTGCTGACTCCCCCTGCAGCCTGTCCCTTGGCCTTGCAGGCTGGGCTGGTCTCCTGGCTGCACTGAGGGGCTGGCGATGGTGGGGAAGGCTGTGGATGAAGGGAATTCCAGCCGAAAGCTGCTTGGCACCAGACAGCGTGTGTGTGTACAGTGCAGAGAACAGCGGCCGCTAGCGCCGGTGGGCACGCACTTGGCTTTGTAGTAATTCCCCCGGCACTTATACACAGCAGCCACACCCACCTGTCTGGGTCAGCAGCTTTTATCCTTGGGCAGGCCCACTTCTGTCACTGGGAAGTGACCTCAGTCCAAAGCCCACCTTCTGAACACATGGCTTCTGAGAGGCCGACTGTGAAGGATGGGGCAGCTCCCAGTGACCCCCTCCGCAGCCGGGGCCCTGCTGGCACGTGGAGTGCCTTGCTTGGGCTACACCAGGGACTGCCCAGAGGAGCTGGGCTCCTCTGAGTTGGCCAATTCCCACTGCTAGGCTAGTCCCAGAGTTCTCACTCATCTCTCTGCAGGGTTAAACGTGGTTAATCTTATCTGAGTTACAAACACTAGCTGTGGGTTACCGAGGCTTCGGGCATGTCCCTGTCCCAACTCCTTGTGGTTGAATTAACGTAAAAGCATCCTGCTGGGAGGGGACCCCAGAGCGGGACAGGAGGATAAAAGAGGCTTGTATCCTAGTCCTGGAAACCCCGAAATACTTCCACCACAGAAGCAGTGGATACCTCAATAAGGACTGTCAGTACGGACACCAAGGACCATACCCCAACTGCCAAGGAGACCACAGGGAATTGGAGTGCCCTGGTAGGCTGAGAACGCTGAGGTCAACCATTCCCTATCGGATCTCCCACACGGGATGGCAGCAGCCCAGAACGCGCCTCACAGGGTCTAATGACATCGGAACAACAGCCAGGAGCCCCAGGCGGTCCTCAGAAACAGAACAGTAAACTTCCTTTCGGACTCAGGAGAGGAGCTTTCTCTGGTCCTTACTTAGTTCCAACTTTGGTCCCCCATCTGCTCTTGCACAGACCATCAGGGTTGCTCTGGAGCCCCCAGAATTAGATCAGATAGAAACTAATATGGAAAGCTTAGAACAGACAAGAAAAAGTCAGCTTGGATTCTCATATACCTCACTAGGGGGACGCAAAGATCACAGCCAAGTTACTGCAGATTCCACTGCGCGTCCCTCCTAAAACTGTTCTGCTCCTCTCAGTTGTTAATACATGGCTTGTTAGCGTTATAAGCCTGTTTGGACTATCCTAAAATTCATGAAGTTCTGTGAAATCTCGCTTGAATACTAGAAACTGCTAAATATAAGTATATATAAAAAAAGACTCGAAACAGCCGAACAGGATCCTACAACCATTTTAAGGCTTACGGCAGTTGGTTATGTATAAACTAAAATTGAGATGTCAATGAAGTAGTTATAGGACTTGGTTATTAAGAACTTGCACTTTCTAACACATTAGTCACTCAGTAGCATGTTTTTTAACTTCATGATGTCATAAATTTCCATTTTTCTTCCTGTTGATTTTGTATTGTGGCTCTTCATTTAAGGGGATGTATAGTAACTGTTTATTGGAGACTATCATATCTAGATGGGAGGATATTCTGCCTTCTCTACTTTCAGATCAAAGATGGACTCGCAATGAAACTGTTACATTTATCTTGTCAACAGGATGCTGGACTTTGCATGGTCCATGCCCGCAATGATGGAATTATGACTGTTTATGAACTATACCATTGTAATAATACAGAGGAACTCAGTTTGGAGGTGAGGGCTTAAGGGAAATCCCAGAGCCTATGGAACTATGTCATAAAATAAAATAATAATAAAAAAGAGTTACAATGGAGGAAATGAATTTAAAATATACATACATTTTAATGCTGATTTTAAAAAAAAAGCCACCTGGTAGATGCCTATGACTGCACCTGCCAAGCAAGGCGCTGGACTCCCTCTGGTCAGGGGACAGTGAAGAGGGGCCACCCTGAAGCCATAATCCTGCTTGCAACCTGCTGGTTTCATTTTTTTAAAAAGAGATTTATTTATTTTTATTTGAAAAGTTGATTTTTTACAGAGAAGGAGAGACAGAGAAGTCTTCCATTTGCTAGTTCACTCCCCAAATGGTGGCAATGGCCAGAGCTGAGCTGAGCTGAAGTCAGGAGCCAGCAGCCAGAAGCTTCTTCCACATGGGTGCAGAGGCCCAAGGACTTCTGCAAGCCACAGGCAGGGAGCTGGGTCAGAAGTAAAGCAGCTAGGACATGAACTGTGGCCGTAACGAATGCCTATGCGAGCAGGTGGAGGATTACCCAGCTATGCCATTGTACCTGGCCCTGTTGATTTTAGTGTTAGGAAACACACATTTCTATCTTCTCTTTCCCTCCCCCCGAATGTCTGCAATGTGGGGACTGAGTCTGGAACTCCTGCTAGGCCTCCCCTGCGGGTTGCAGGAGCCCCACTGCTTCCTGTTGCCTTCCTATTGGAGACAAGGCGAACTCCAACAGAATGATATTCACCTGCCCCCAATTTGTTCTTGTAAGATTTATTAATTATTACTACTTTTATTTTGAAAGGTAGAGTTAGACAGAGAGAGAGAGATCCTCCACCTGCTGGTGCACACCCCAAGGCTACAACAGCAGGAGCTGAGCCAATCGGAATCTAGACGCTTCCTCCAGTTCTCCCATGTGGTTATAGAGGCCCAAGGTTTGGATCCATTCTCTGCTGTTCTCCTAGGCTCTAAGCAGAGAGCTGGATGGGAAGTGGAGCAGCTGGGGCACAAACAGGCTGAGGCTTAGCCTCCCACGCCGTGGTGCTGGCTCCACCTGCAGCTGGTTCTGCCCAGTCCCCCGCTCGGCCAGAACCTCTCCTGTGTGTCCACTTCACGGGCGCACATATCCCGAGTGGTGGAAAACAGGACATCATGTGGGCAGAGCCTGGGACCCCAGACTCACCAGAAGTCAAGTGTGCTGCTCACCCTGGGTTGAGAAAGAGGGGGTTCCCAAGGAGAAAGGCCAGGGGTGCCTGTCTTTGGGATCTTTCTCATACTCTAAGGGTCACCTTGGGAGAGCCTGATGAAGCCCCGGGAGGACGTGCCGAGTTTCCCCGGTGATTTCAGCTGCAGTGTGCTTGGGGCTCCCCCAGGGAGCAGCAAGGCACCCCCTTCCCTCTGGGGGTGCACTCACACACTGGCCCCTGTCACGACACTCTATCCCTCCCAGCCCTATCCTATTCTCCCGCGGTCTCACAGGACATGAAAAAGGCCTTTATTGTCATGGGGATTTTTTTTTCTGGTGTAAAAGGCTTCGGGAGACAACCCTGTTTATTCTGTGCGTGAGTTCCGGCTCCTCCTGCCAACCTCTGGGCTGAGCGGGACAGCCCTCCTCTCTCACGCAGGCAGCGGCACAACGAACCTGTGACTCAGTTTATCCGTCGCTATGGGGCAGCTGCAGCGTGAGAGGCTGTGTGGGGTGGTGTTGGGAGCCCCCATACTGGGCGCAGAATGGAAGCTGCAGGTGGGCGTGGCTGCGGCGGGCGGGCGTGGGTGCTGTACGTGGGCGTGGCTGCTGCAGGTGGGCATGGCTGCCACTGGCTCTCTAGGTCCTGGGCTTCTCTTGGTTCTCGATGACCAGCTTGTCTGTTGAATACAGCTGACCAATGTGGACCTAAAGGCAAAGAGAAGGCACAGATCAAGAACAATGGACTCCCATCAGCGGTGAGAGAACACTGCTTGTGAGACAGAGAGAGAATCTTCTACCTGCTACTAAACTCCATAAATCGCTGCAATGGTTAGGGCTGGGCCAGGCCAGAGTTCTGGGCCCGAGAACTTGGCCATCCTTGGCTGCTTTCCCAGGTGCTTCAATAGGGAGAGGAAGTGGAGAGCTGAACTGGTGCTCGTATGAGATGTGGGTGTGACACATAGTGGCTTAACCAGCTGTGTTCACCGCAACGCTGGCCCTGAAAGAGCATTTCTACCAATGAAGCCCAGTTGGCATATGATGTCCTTCCTGGAGAAACTCAGCTGTAAGAAGGTGACTCATCAGTGTGCCTTCGCTAGGTCCCTGGCACCGGCCAGCTCCTGCTTCTTCTACTGGGAGAAGTTACTCGGCCCAGCCTCCTCTCTGAAATAGCACTGAGCCACAGGGCTTGTCTGGCCTGAGCTGGGTCAGACTTTCTAGCAGGTCCTCGCCTGCTGCTGGAAGTGAAGCTGTGCAGGTGTGTGCACAGCAGTCCCCACCCCCCACCAGCAGGGCTGGCTTCCTGTGTGCACAGCTCCCCCCAGCAGGGCTGGCTCCCACACAGGTGTGTGCACAGCCCTGCCCCCCAGCAGGACTGGCTTCCTGTGTGCACAGCCCCCCACAGCAGGGCTGGCTCCCACACAGGTGTGTGCACCCACCCCCCACCAGCAGGGCTGGCTCCCACACAGGTGTGTGCACAGCAGCCCCCATCGCCAGGCTTGTGGCGTCAGCAGAAGCGTGTTTGGTCTGTGCCAGGGCAGAGGAGGCCTGCATTAGGGACAGTGTCAGCCTGGCCATCTGCTCCTGGGGAGGACAACGACGCCTGTCCATGTCGATGCGCCCGCTGTGTGTCGAGGCAGAGATGCACAGACCATGTTCCCAGCCACTGTTTTCCCTTCAGATGCTCTCACGGCTGAAGCATGGAGCTGGTCTCTGCAGTGGGTCCTTCACCCTCCTGGGTGACAGGAAGCCACCACGTGCTAGCACCTTCTGGAGCCAGTGATGCACCCAATGAGGAAGGTGGGTGTCGCAACAGCAGGTTAAGCCCAGTGTCCTGATCTTTACTCTCTCTCAAGATTTATTTATTTGTTTAAAAGGCAGAGTTACAGAGGCAAAGTGCACAATCTTTCATTCACAGGTGGTTCACTCCCCAAATGGCTGCGACAGTCAGAAGCCAGGGGCCTGGGGCTCCAGCACTCTCCATGGGGGCAGGGGTACACCAGGAGAGAGCTGGTTCAGCTGGTACATAAACTGGTGTTCACATGGGATGCCAGCACTGAGGGTGACAGGTCACCACACTGCTGACTAGTCTTTGGGGCCCTCTGCGATAACTGCTCCTTCAGCGGCCTGGAGTTCTAGCCCAAATCTCCCCAAGCTCCCCCTCCTGCCCTACAGCTCTGTGCTGAAAGGGGTTACCAAGGGCCATGTGACAAGGTGGGACCTATCCCCCAGTGACCTCCAGAGTGGGCCACTGGGGGCTTGTGCCCCAGCAGCGTGTCTTGGGGCAGACCCCCCGGGGCTGTGTGCACCGACAGTGCCCGGACAAAGTGGAGGCAGGCCCAGAGCAGCCACATCACCTAAGTGGTGACTGAGGGGTATGAGCTGATCTTGTAGCTATTTAAAATAAAGCGGTAACTCTTTTTTTTTTTTTTCCAGCTTGATTTCAGGCTGAGTGGGCAGTCCAGAGAGCTCCCCCCTCTGCTGCTTTATGGATCGAATGCTTGCAACTGCATTAGCTGCTTCATTCACAGAAAGTGGGAGGACTGCGTGTGGCTGGCACTGGTCCTAATGGGGTCCTCATGGGGCAGGCGGGCCCAGGGCAGGATGCCTGCTCCTCCACACAAGGGGCCTGCTCCAGCTCCTGGGCTCTGGTCCTGGTTTTGTGCTGGTGTGGACCCTGGGAGGGAGGCCTGGCTTCTGTTGACCTTAGCTGACCTCCCAGGGGTCAGTTGTGCCTTCCGTGGTTTCAGGCTCTCCCCCTCTCATCTACAGGCGAGGTTAATGCTGCTTGTCCATGGGCGCTCCTTGGCTGGTGGAGGTGAGAAGCCGCGTGGAGCGCCAGGCCAGCTGGGGACCTCACTGTACAGGGGAGGTTGGGATTCCGGTACTTGCTGTGTCTGCTGGTTTCCTACCTTCAACTTCATCCTGTGCATACACAGGCACTCCTAAACAAAGGCAAGCTTACTGTGGGGCAGCAGGTGAAATCACCCCTTTTGGCCATCTTCAGAAAGTTCATGAGAATGCGAATTATGAAAAAAGAAAAAACTAAGTGTGGATGTCACTTTTCCCTCCCTTGACTTTCAAATCAACGTTTTCATCCCACTTTCTATGAGGCGCTTTGAAACACCCATGGAGCAACTCCCTGCCTGACACAAGGTGACGGGGCGGGCGGGCCCAGGGGAGGATGCCTGCTTCTCCACGCGAGGGGCCTGCTCCAGCTCCTGGGCTCTGGCCCTGGTTTTGCGCTGTTGTGGACCCTGGGAGGGAGGGCTGGCTTCGGTTGACCTCAGCTGATTCCTGGCCCTCAGCTTTGGCCGAGTCTCTGCAGGGAACCAGTGGCCGGGAATGCTCCCTGTCTAAATAAATGACCAGTGTATCTTATGAAAAAGAATCACTACAGTGAGGGGTGCCTGCCCTTCTCTCCCCCTCCCACCTACCAGCCACCTGTGGGAATCTCAGCCTCCAAACCCTGGGGCCTGCTCACGGCCGCTCCCGACCTGTTCCCCACGCTCCCGACCCTGCAGGCCCCACGTGCGCCCCCTGCTCCTCTCCCCGGCCCCTCCACCTTGTCCCTCCATCCTGCCCCCATGGCAGGAGATGTTTCCCTGTGTGCTGTCTCCACCCCTACTCCCGTTCCCACCCTGCTGGAATAAAGGCCTCCCAAGCACCTAGCTGCGGCTGGGGTTTGGGCTAGTGGGACACTGTGAGAAGAGGACTTGGCTGTGAATTAGCTGTGCGTAAGAACACTGAGTGTGAAACCTAACAGCTATGTCATGATTGGGGCAGGGTGTTTCCATAACTGTACTTGGATCAGACATGAATGTTCAGGTGGTCAGCTTACTTGGGAGCCTGTTTCATATTTCATTGCTTTTGGGGGGCTGTTAGGAGGGCCCACAGACCACACACACTCCGAGTGTTTAACTTGAGTTTGCCACCCCGGTTTCAAGGCAGTGGCAGTGGAATGGACATGAGGTGACAGTGTAAGGCAAACCTCTTCGACGTGGCTCTTCTGACCACTTTGAGTGCATCGCCTGGTGAGGACCGGGCAGCTGGGGTGCCGAGGGAACTGACACGCTGGGCAGGGGCAGTGCCAGCTGGGCGTCTGCCAGCCCACAGCCCTGTGACTGCAGGCTTTGTCTGTGGCTCCAGGAGCCATCTGGGACGCCTCTGTGGGGCAGACCGATGGTTTCAGAGTTTTAGCTCAAGGTCAAGGCAAAGAGGGAAGAGCCCAGCTAGAGTGCAGGCGACAGACAATTCAGGAGATGCCAGAAGGGGTAGAGGGGACTGGACAGACAAACCCAAGGCCGAGGCCAGCCTGCAGACACGGAGAGAGTCACTGCCTGACCTCACACCAGCTGAACGGAAGTGCAGGGAAGCCGGTCGGTCAAGGAGGGAAGGTCAGAACCATGCATCTTTGGCTCTCTTTCTCCATGGCCTCCCCCCGCCCTCCCCCAATCCTGTCCGTCTGAGTGTCTCCCAGCCACTGCCAGATTCTTTAGGATTTACGCGCAGCAGGTAAACCTGCAGCACAACTCGGAGCCTGCGGTACTCGGGTTGGATGAACCGCCCCACGGAGAGGTGGTCTGCCCAGGCTCTGTTCCGCCTCTTGGCTGCCTGGTGCGTGCCAGGGAGGGGCAGGGGCGATGCCCCACGCTGTCCCTCTTCGTGGCCTTTCCACCTGGAACAGGATAGGCAGGGCTCACCTGGGAACCCCTGGCTACGCACAGGGGACTCAAAGGAAGCTCCTGAGGTCCCCACGGTGGAGACACCTCATTCATTGCCGGTTTTTCCACCTCTTCATCTCTGCCTTCAGGCCATTTGAACTGTACTTTGCAAGAGGATTTCCAACACCTGCACAACACCCCTATATGGATGCATCAAAATCTATCATTCTTATATGACAAACAATTAGATCATTCCCACTTCAAGGCCAAGGTTATCCACTATTAAAATATGACAGTTTCAGGCCCTGTGTGGTAGCCTAGCAGCCAAAGTCCTTGCCTTGCACATGCTGGGATCCCATATAGGTGCTGGTTCTAAACCCAACGGCCCCACTTCCCATCCAGCTCCCTGCTTGTGGCCTGGGAAAGCAGTCAACGACCCAAAGCCTTGAGACCCTGCACCACTGTGGGAGACCCAGAAGAGGCTCTGGCTCCTGGCTCCAGATTGGAGCAGCTCTGGCTATTGCGGCCGCTCTCCCATCACACACACCTGCCCTCCCTAGCCCGTGAGTCAGTACTGGGCTGGCCGTGTTCTCAACTGACAGGCAGTGCCGGAGGAGCGTGGAGGCAGTGTATGAAAAGGGTCCTGAATGGCAAGCATGCCCTGGCCCGCTCAGTCACTAAGCCTCTTGATGGAGTTCTGTACAACTCAGAGCAAAACCAGGAAGCCCCCAGGGTGACGACAGAGACGGGCCATTGGAGACCACCTCCGCCCCTCACGCGCAGCTTGTCAGGTCACCGAGACCCACACGGCAAGCTACACTAGGTAACTAGCTCCGGAGTGATGCAACTGCCAGGGCAGCACCTTGGGGACAGAGCGAGCTGCTGAGAGCACGTCTGCCACCTGTTCCGGGTTTATCTTTGACAACCAGCTGCCTCACGCTGTATGAACCCCCACAGACACATCCTCCCAAGGTCAGCTGGAGCAGCTGTGATCTAATATGTACTTTAAACAAATGCTGCTGAGAAGGCAAGCTCAGTGCCCGC